TGCTGAGCACTCTTTGTGTTGAGTGTTAAATATTCCCACTCATCTATCTAATTATCTATCTGTCCATCCTAATCTGATCCATGTGTCTATCAATCATCTATCAACTATCTCTCTACCAACCACATATGTATCATCAATTGATCTATCATCTATTGATCATAAATTATGTATCTATCATCTGTCATCTATCAACCACCTATCAACTATCTATCATCAGTTGATTTATCATCTGTCAGTCATCTGTCAGTCAGTCCATCCATCCTGCCAACAAGTCAGGCATATTTTAATGTTGCCTACAAGTCATTGTGGATCTTTAAGATGAATTCATAGATATTTGCTCCAATTTTTGTATCTTGATTCACAGTTTGACTCTCAGATGACGACCTTCAGTTCTGGATAGTTGTTCGTTTGGGTAACTGAGAGGCCAGCACACTCAGATTGAGGATGTGCTGAACATGTGTGTTAGAATGGGCACAAACTGAGCACTCAATCTGTGGATGACAGGGTGAAGGTATGAGAATTTAACACTCACTGGTGAAGTCTGAGGATAGGAAGATACCCCATCCATCAAGGATTAGGTCAGATAATATTTAAAAGAGTGGACTTGAGTGGGATTTTTTTTTTTTATTTCTCTGAGCTGTCTCAAAATTTAAGCATTTGTCTGTCATTTCATTCTGAGAATTTGTGCATACAGTGACAACTGTTGGGATGTCCAGAATAATCATTTTCCAAATGTCTTGAGAAATTCTAGAGTTAAATAAAGTAAAAACATGGTGTAGATCAGGGTTGACAAACTACAGCTCAAAGACTGAATCCATCCTGCTGCCAGCTTTTGTAGATAAAGTTTTACTGGAACACAACCCCACCCATCTGTTCACATACTGTCTACGGCTGCTTTCTCACTGCAACAGCATAGTTGAGAGGTTGCCACAATGAATGCGTGGCCCACAAAGGCTAAACTAGGAGCTCCCTGTGAGGAGCTACCTCACAGCATACCACATTACCTCCACCTGCTGTGGAGGAAAGAATACAAGATTTTAAGCAAGATATGTTCTAGCTGTATGACATTAGGCAAGTTTTTACCTCTGTATGTCTCAGTTTTACCATCTGTAAATGAGAATAATTATATCTACTTTTAAGTTAGGTTTAGATGAAATAACTTATTTAAAACATCTACCATTTAAGACTCTCAGGAAATTCCTATTAATAAATGGAAAAACTTTACTCAAGTCTCTGTGACAGAGTTAACATGACTACACATACATTTGAAACAATAGCCATGTCAGTAAATTTGAGTGGGAACAACTGTTGAACACACCTCTACAGGAATACACCGATTTTTAATAACTGTGCTGCCCAATATGGTAGCCACATGTGGTTGCTGGGCACTTGAGATGTAGGTAGTCCAAACTGAGATATGCTATAAACGTGAAATACACATCAGACTTCAAAGACTTAATATGAAGAAATGTAAACTATATCATTTCATGTCGATGATCTTGAACATAGAGGCTGGAAAAAATTATTTCATATTGATTACGTACTAAAAGGTAATACTTCAGAGATACTGGGTTGAATTAACTATATTAGTAAGTTAAATTTCCCGTTTCTTATGACTTTTTTTTTTTTTATCATGGCTACTAAAGTTTAAAAATCACATTTGTGGTATGCATTATATTTCTATCAGAGAGGACTCTTTTAGAAGAAAGGAATGTTAGTTGCGCAACCACTCAGAAGTTAGTTTTGGGAAATCTTTGCCACCTAATAAATAAGTATAGCTGGAAAATCAGGGTTGCAAATGTAAACTGAGACATTTTATTTAGAGGTTGAAGGAATGATTTCTCATAAAAGGATGTAACTTCCTTTGAAACAGATGTCGATCGTGCCATCTTCAGTTTCCCAGGGAAGGGTCAGGCATGTAGTAGGTGCTCAGTGAATGTTGAATTGAATTGACAGAGATAAGACAAAGGCAGATTCATCAGAAGAGGAAATGAAGCCGGAAAAAAAGTCCGTGAGCCTCACTCTGTCTTGCTAAAAGAAAGAATGGGTCTGGGGTTTTAACAAATTTAAGTTTAAGAGGAGACGTCTTAAGAGACAGGATCTAAAGCCCTGGCGAGAGAGCCATTCTGTATAGAACTGGAAACTCCCAATGACTCAAATCTGGACTGGGGAGGCAGTTTCCAAAGGCAGGGCCATCCACGTGAAGTCCGGACCCTTAATGCCAATCACAGCCTTGGGATAGGCCAAGGAGGCTCATTATTCACTCTCCCAAGAACCGATGAGGTGCCTGTTACGTACCAGGCACAATGCTAGGTGCTGAGGACATAGAGTTGAAAGGAGCTCTATATTCAAGGAGCTTACAGTTTAAAGGGAGACAGATGTAGTTATTTACAGTACAAGTGGCCATTGCCTACATAGTTACACTAAATGAATACCCATATTCCATTTTAAGACATAATACCCAAGAAGAATCTATAACCATTTTGAAAATTAAGGATATATGAGGAAGAAACACTCCAACCCAATAGGCAGTGTTTCGCAACCCTTTTAGCCCTGTTCGCTTAAGCAATTCACAGTTTTTGCAATCTTTCTTCATTCTGTCTGTCCTCAGCATGATAAACATTTGGGGCTAATAAGCTAGGTTTTTTTTTTCTTCTTTTTAATACTAGGGCTTTCAGCAGTTGAGTTTTATATTTGTAGCTTCAATTAGTTGAGTCGTAGGCTTATTGTGGTAGTTGGGACCATCATTCAATGTACCTGCTCTCACTGAGGGTGGAATACACCTTCCTGTGTCACTGAATTGGGCGTGGTCATGTGACTTTCTTTGGCCAAAGGAAGGCTAGCAGACTTGATGTGGAGAGAGGCCTTAAATCTGCTTGTGTGATTTAGCTTGGCTTTTGCACTTCTGTTATTACCATGGGAAGAGCAAACCCTGAGAAGTCACTGGTCCAAGAAGAGAGACAACTGATAAAGATGTGATTGAAACCCACAGCAGGAAATTCAGCCCAGCTGACCTACAGCTTAAAGCAAAGCCCCTCTCTGGGGCCAGCCTAGACAATCCAAACTGCAGAGGACCTGTAGACCCATGAGCATGAGAATAAATGTTCGTGGTTATAGACACTTTGAGTTTTGGGTGATTTGTTGTGCAGTGCTATTTTGGCATAATTGTATAATATACTCGAGTCAGTTTTGTGTGTTCCTAACCCTTTTTCGACTGAACTTTTATTGTATTCATACAATTTAATTAAACATTACACACACTAATGGAATATGAGTGCAAAAACAAAGAGGTTTGTTTTTCTAGATAAATCTTATTCTATGTTTAATTTTTTGAATCTTTGTTGGGTTTTGGTGTTTAAAGTGACATTGGACTAATAAAATGAATCAAGCAGTTTTCTGTCTTTTTCTGTAGCCTGAAATAGTTAATATTGGTTTTATATATTTAGGAAAGATAAATCTATGTTGTCCTAAACTCTTGTACAAGGGTAGACATTTAATCATTTTATTTCTTCCATCATAATGATTTATTCAACTTTTCCATTTTGGGGGTGGTTAGTTTTGGTAGTAAACGTTTATTTCTAGAAACTCATTTGTTTCCTAAAAGTTTTAAAAACAATTTGCAGTAATATTTTCTTATAATATTTGTGGCTGGGCACAGTGACTCACGCCTGTAATCCCAGCACTCTGGGAGGCTGAGGCTGGTGGATCACAAGGTCAGGTGTTCAAGACCAGTCTGGCCAACATAGCGAAACCCCGTCTCTACTAAAAATACAAAAAAAAAAAAAAAATTAGCTGGGTGTGTTGGCCAGTGACTATAATTCCAGCTACTTGGGAGGCTGAGGCAGGAGAATTGCTTCAACATGCGAGGCAGAGATTGCAGTGAGCTGAGATCCCACCACTGCACTGCAGCCTGGCGACAGTGTGAGACTCGATCTCAAAATTTATATATATACATATTATATATATACCTATATGTATTTATATATATATATATATATTAAACATTCTGAATCCTGCATATATAATTTCCCTATCCTTTTTTCTTAATCAAACTTGTGAAACGTTTTCCAGTTTTTGGAATTTTTACTTTTTCTACTTCTGGTTATTTATGTATTTTCTATAATTTTTGTTACTTTATTAATTAGAGCATGTAATTTTTAAAATTTTAAGTTCCAGGGTAAATGTGTGGGATGTGCAGATTTGGTAAATGTGTGCCACGGTGGTTTGCTGTATCTATCAACCCGTCACCAAGGCATTAAGCCCACCACGCATTAGCTATTTTTCCTGATGGTCTCCCTCCCCTGATCCCACCCCTTGACAAGCCCCAGGGTGTGGTGTTCCCCTCCCTGTGTCCATGTGTTCTCATTGTTCAGCTCCCAGTTATCCATGAGAACAGAGCATGTAATTTTAATTCGTCTTTTCTAAATTCTATTTCATGATTCAGTCTTAATAGGTTGTATGTTTCTAGGAATGTATTCATTTCTTCTAGGTTATATGATGTGTTGACATATAAATGCTTATGATAGTCTCTTATAATTTTTTGAATTCCGTGTTATTGGTTCTGATAGTTCCTCTTTCAGTTTTGATTTTATTTGACTCTTCTTTTAGTCCAGCTAAAGGTTTGTCCATTTTGTTTATCTTTTCAAAAAACAAACCCTTAGCTTTCTTGATCTTTTCTACTGTTTTTCTGCTCTCTATTTGATTTATTTTTGCTCTGATCCTTCTTATTTCCTTTTTACTAACTCTGGGCTTAGTGTGTTCTTTGTTTACCTTGAGGTGTAAAGTTAGGTGGATTATATGAGATCTTATTTTTTCCCCCCATGTCGGCATTTATTGCTATAAACTTCCCTCCTAGAACTGCTTTTGCTGAATCTCATAAAGTTTGGCATATTGTATTCCCGTTTTTGTTTGTCTCAAGATATTTTAAAATTTCTCTTTTGATTTCTTCTTTGACTCATTGGTTGTTTAGGAGCGTGCTGTTTGTTCTTTATCAACAATAGGCAGTTCCGCTCTATTCCTTGTTTACTGAGAGTTTTTATCATGAACTGATGTTGGATTTTATCAAATGCGTTTTCTGGATCCATTGATATGATCAGGTGAGGAGCAGGTTGTTTAATTTCCACCTATTTGTGAAGATTACAATTTTTCTCCTGTTATTCATTTCTAATTTTGTACTTTTATGGTTGGAAAAGATATAGGATAGAGGTCAATCTTCTTAAATTTGTTGAGGCTTGGTTTGTGGCTGCTGTAGTCAAAATTCGTATGTTGAAACTGAATCCCCATTATGATAGTATGAGGTGGAGGGGCCTTTATGAGGTGATAAGTCATGAGGGATTTGCCCTCGCAAATGGGATTAGTGCCATTACAAAAAAAGGTTGAAGGGAGCCGCCTTCTCCTGCTATGTGAGGGTGTGGCAAGAGGAGTCCTCTGTGAAGCAAAGCGCACAATTTCATCAGACACTGAATCTCCTGGGGATTTAATCTTGGAATTTCCAGCCTCCAGAACTGTGAGAAGTAAATTTCTATTATTTATAAAGTAACCAGTCGAAGGTATTCTGTCATAGCAGCCTGGATAACAGACTAAGACAGATGCCTAATGTATGATCTATCCTAGATAATGCTCTCTGTGCATTTGGGGAGAATGTGTATTCTACTTTTGAATGGAAAAAACAAAACAAAACAAGGACCATACACGATGGCTCATAAACCCAGGAGTGTGAGACCAGCCTAGACAACACAGCAAAAATATATGTCTGTAAGGTCCATTTAGTCTAAAGTGTAGTTCAAATCTAATGTTTGCTTATTGACTTTCCGTCTTGATGATCTATTCATTGTTCAAAGTGGGGTACTGAAGCCCCCTGCTATTATTGTATTGCTGTCTGTTTCTCTCTTTGTGTCTGTTAATATTTGCCTTACATATTTTGGTTCTCTGGTGTTGGGCACATATATATTTATAATTGTTAGTCCTCTTCAAGAATTAACCCTTTTATCATTATATAATGTTCTATTTTGTCTCTGTCAGTTTTTGACTTAAAGACTGTTTTGTGTGATATAAGTATGGCTACCCTGCTCTCTTTTCTTTTTGCATGAATATCTTTTTCACTTTCTGTCTACATGTGCCCTTAAAGCTGAGTGAGTCTCTTGTAGGT